TTGTTTGTTTGTTTGTTTGTTTTGATGCAGGGATTGTTATAAGAGCTATGAGAGCCCCTAATAAAATGATTTATTAAAAAAAGGAAGAAAACAAGATTTTCAAAAGAAGGTCACCAAAGAGATAAAGGCCAGAAATAAAACACAAAACCAAAGTCCAAAGAATCACAAAACAACTTCTAGAGCCTGCTAGTGGTTGTTTTGTATTTAAAACAAAATTCACAGAAATATAAGACATGTTACCATCATTTCTTGCTCAAAGCGCCGGAAAATTTGCTCTCGTTGCTGGTGTAGTTTACTGTTGAGCTGCTGCTGCGCTCTCTGCTCTTCTTTTTGAAGGAGTCTCAGCTCCCGGAGTTCCTGACGTCTGTTAAAGTGTAATGGTTTTTTAAAAAAAAAAAAAAGGTGCAATGGTAACAATAAAGAAAAATAGCAAATATTACCTTTAAAGTAATGCTTTAAAAAACAAGAGCATTTTTTCAAATGGAAAAATAATAGAATGATGTAGAATTAGCCAGAAACGTATCCTGGGTTCACCAGTCCTCAGACTTCAGCACAGTTTTAATTTTGTGGTTTCTCTACTCACCTAAGAAAGCGCAGGTCCTCGGTTTTGGAGTCACTATCTGTAACTATCTTTGATGTTGTTACACTCACTTCTACACCATCCACGACAAATTTGCGGGTTTTCTTCAGTGTTTTCTTTTGTCTTCTTGTTTCCTGAGTGAGATTTAATTTTAGTTAGTCTTTATAAGAAATACCGGGGACAGAAAACATACATATCTTTAAGAAACAGAACGGCCATGAAAACTATGAACACGACCTATGTAAGATACAAATATAAAGCAGTAACAGTCATCCGCGGAGGAGCCCTGATGGCACAGTGGGTAAGCATCTGGCTGCTAATCTAAAGGATGATAGTCTCAATCTTAAATTACTCCTACAGTGACTTGGCCTACCACCCCACTTTCACAAAAGAAATGACTCATAACCCCTTAGCAATTAAAATCTTTTGCACTGCAGCCCAAAATCCAGGACAAAACACATCTGCTTTGGTAGCCCTTGTATTGTTCCAGCACACTCACACACCCCACTCCACCCCACCCCACCCCACCCCTACCCTGCCCACCCTTGCCAGGGAAACACTGGTCTGAACCCAGCAGCTCCAAGGGAGAAAGACCGGACATCAGTTGAAGAGCTTCCATAAAGACTACAGCCAAGTGACCCTATGAAGCAGCTCTACCCTGTCACATGGGGTCGCTAGGTTGAAACTAACTTGACTATAGCAATTCACCTGTGGAGCCAATCACGTATGTCATTCTAACCCGTACCTCTCATAT